GAAAATTCCCAGCTCACGTGCGCGGGACCAGGTTTTCGGCTGCGAGGGCTCAGGCCCCGCTGCGGGTCAGTGTTTTCCAGCCGCTGGGAAGAGCCTGCGTGAGAACCGGCTCCTTCCCACGCCTGCCCCGCCGCTCCCGCCGCCCTTTCCCGGGGTGACGGCCGGGTCGCTGCTCGGACCCGCAGGGATCCAGGGGGATGCTGGGACCCGCAGGGACCCATCGGGCAGCGCAGCCCCGAGGTTCTGCTCTCCGAGGGCAGGGAGAACCAGCGCTGATGCCCGTTGGTGCCTGGGTGTCCGCATGGGACCCTCCAGCTGCGTTATTCCTCCCTGCAGAGCCCGGGGTGGGAAGAGGGATGTCCCCTTCCTGGGACAGCCACGGAGCAGCTGAGCTGTTGGCTCCGGAGCCAGGGTCCACCCCGGAGCCCTGGGACGTGCTGTGCAGCACAGGCACTGCCACCCCCCCACTGATCCTGCTGCAGAGCATCCAGGGACTGCTCCAGGAGACGCCTGGCCCGGCCCCTGGGGGCCCAGTGTGGTGCTGGGCTGTACTGGGAGGGGACAAGCACCCCCAGCGAGACCATGGGGGTGCCAGGGTGGTGTCTTGCCTGCGCCAAGCAGGGATTGAGCTCCCCCTTCCCCCTGGACAGAGGGGGAACATGCTACCAGTGAGGCTCCAGTGCCAGGATGGATGTGGGAGGCAGTGGGGACCCTCCCAGCACTGCCAGGCAGGAATGGCTGAGCCCGGTGACAGGGCTGGAGCCTCGGCACCATGTGCCCTCCTGCTGGGAGATGGGATGGGGCCATGCCAGTGTCCACAGGCAGGAAATCCTTCCCCTCTCTGTTTTCCAAGCTCCACTGGCCCTGAATTATCCCCCACAACATCCAGTTTCCACACAGACCCAGCAGGCAGCGGGATGGCTGGACATGCTTTCCCGTGGATGTTTCCTAACCTCCACACCTGTGTCAGCCCAGCACCTCCCAGTTTCCACCAGCAGCTGGCAGGAGGTTGTCCTTGGCTTTACCCTCTGCTCCTGATGTGCTGCTGCCCTCAGAGCCACCTCGAGCCTCTCCAAGTGCAGGGATGTCCTGGGACAGGCTCCCAGCAGTGTCTCTGGGATGGACCAGGCTGCCAGGGCCAAACCCAGCACAGCAGCATAGGGGCAGGGCCAGCCCAGGTTGGGCTGGGGGCAGCCAGGGGCCAGGGAGGGCAGGAATGGGGCCATGCCGGTGTCTGCAGGCAGGAAATCCTTCCCCTCTCTGTTTTCCAAGCTCCCCAGGAGCTGTGAGCCAGCCCTGGTGTCACCAGCACGTGCTCAGGAGTGACCCGGGGCAGAGTCCAGAGGCACAGCCAGGGCAGGGGAAAGGAGGTGGAGCACTAAAACCTTTCAGAGCAGGAGCAGCTGAGGAGATCCCTGAAAACTCAACAAGATCTAGTGAGAAAGGAAGAAAATTCAAGACAAGTTTTGTCCTAGGCTGACTGCTCTGTTTGCTACCACAGGCAGGAGAGGGATGACTTGATCCTTGGGGGTGGGACAGGGAGAATCAGAGCTGAGGATGGGGAAATGGGGGCTGAGGATGGGGGAAATTGGGGCAGCACATGCTGGGAGCACCAGGAAGGCTCCTCCAGCACTGCCATCTCTGAGCATGATCAGACCAAGCCCAGCCTGGAAGTTTGTACTAAATGTTTACAAGGGTTCAAAAAAGGGGTACAAAAAGGTCAAAGCCACACTCATCTCTCCTCCCAGGGAGCAGGTAGAAGCACTGCCCTCCAGACTTCCCCCCCAGAATCCTCCCCTCCTCAGCTGCCCCAAATGCCTGACACACTGTTTAGGCCCAGCCCTCAGGAATCCCGACATATTCACAGTGCTCTGCTCCATGTGCCTGGAGGAGCCAATCCCAGGGGAAAACCTCCTTGCTGGAGGTCACAGTACAGAAAGGATCAGGGCTCTGGGCTGTTCCCCACACAGGGAATGCCCACAAATGGTCCATGAATGCCCAGGGAGACTTCCACAGCCATGGAAAAACAATGTGAGGAGCAGCTCCCCGCATGCCCTGAGCCTCCAGGAGCCAGGGCTGGGCAGGCAGGGACAGGGAAGGACCCAGAGCTGCCAGCCAGGGCTGCACGTTCACATGGGGTAGTTGAGAACAACGTCCTGCTTGGCCAGTTCCAGCAACATGGGGTCGTCGAAGAACTTGCTGATGCTCACGTCCTCACTCAGGCCCTGTGGGGTAACACAAGGCCAGGGTTACTCCCCACACAGCCACTCCACGGAGATTCCACCTAAAAGCCCTCGTGTCCTGCAGTAAGATAAACTTTTGGGCTCCAGAGGAGGCATGAGGTGCTTTTCTGCAGCTTGAGGGCATCTAACACCCCTCAGGAGGCTGTGAACGTGCAGTTGCTGAGCGTATCTACCACCTCACTGCCCTCCCATGGGGGAGCTTGATTCCTTCTGCTCCCTCTGTGGCCCTGGGAGCCCCTCCAGCCCCTCAGTCCAGCTCAGAAACCAGTTCCTGCTTTTTCTGCAGGACAAGGGGGATAAACCAGGCCACTGAGGAGTCAGAGAGGCTGGGGGGGGG